GTGGTGGCTGCTAAGAATACAAGAACTGTCCCACAGACCAAAGGTCTGTTCAGTGCCATGTCCTGCTTCCGAAGATGGCCAGATGCAGACACCTGGGGAGACGAATATCTGCCTCATGACTTGTTCTTTGACATCCTTGCAGCTTTCAGGAATCTGTCTTTTGACCATTGCTGCACCCTGGTCCTCTAACTGCTGCTGCTAGTTTGATTTATCAATAGAAATTTTAAATGGAGATCATCTTAGTCGTCTGCTGCAATTGTTTCTCTTGGCCTCCTGTCCTTACATCTTCTTCTCTGCACTGAAACTCGCACATCTTCTTTCCTCCATGTAACTGGACTTCACCAAACCATATTTTGAGTGCTCAGCTACTTTATGGATTTAATCATAACCTTCCCCGGATCTGCGATGACAAGAAACAGTTTAGTCCCAACAGCAATAAGGAGGTCAATTTAATCTTATAGTGAGCCCATTGATGTTATTTGAGTCACAATCCAGATAGATTTCACACTTTTTTTGCTTTGTGTACATCAAACAGTGAAGATTGCTTTTCATCAGTAACAGTCAAAATATGCGTGCACTGTGCCCACATAAGCACACACATACAGAAAAAAGAAAAAAGAGACTCACATTTCTGGGGTTTTTAAGTACCTCTGTGTCATTCCATGCAAATATATTGGGATTTTGTCATAGCTGAAGTCAATGTCTTGAATCCTATGAAAATCAGCCATTGAGAAAATGAAATGTGCCTGCTTAAATTGTTATCAACCATTATTATGACACAATACTTTAAATCTACCAAGTCACATTTTGACACTGCTATTGCAATATGCTCAGTTTTAAAAAAAAAGACGAGCCTGACATCTATCATCCTGCATTTCTTTAAGTCCAGCAATCTATGAATTTAATCATATCTTACAAGGCTGCCCTGTATTAATGCCACGTGGTGTCTCTAATGAGATCAAAAGCTGCAACGGAATGCTCACACACACAATTTCTAAAATGAATAAAAAGTTTGAAGGTTTTTTAATTAGTTTTTGTTTTTCCTACGAGTGCAAACATACAAGTTGTCATCAGAAACCAAGGTGCAGAACAGAAACGTTTATAGCTTTTAAAATTCAGGAATCATAAATGAAATATTTTCATGCCTAGTTCCAAAAACTCTAGCAACAGACCTGAACAGCATACACACAAACAGCAAATGTTTGTGCCAAGCAGGCAAATGCAATTGCATTTTCCTTCTTTACCTGGGCATTTGCATATTTTGTGTTAGCAGTTCAGGCAAAACATTTGGATAATGTGCACCTTGACGTATACCAGATTATCATTTTTTGTTCAGAAAACAGCTCTGATTCAATTCAGTAATTAATGCTTGTCTCAGTTTTGCAGTTCTACTGTAAGTGATCTTGTTGATTTAGATGATTAATGGTTAAACTGCTCATTTGCATGACATTCAGTGCACCCTTTGCAACAACAGGCCATCATTCAGGAGCACAGTGACAATTAACACCCTACTTTTTATCATTCTAATGCTAGCTTGATTATTTAAAAAATAATATCGTTACATAGGGAGCCTAATTAGTAAATGACTTGCCTCCAGCTTGCATGTTTCCGGCACAGACAAGGTTAAATATTTTCCTTTACGTAAAAAAGCAGGTTATTGTTATTTCTTGTCAGGAGGAAGTGGTGATTATTTCAATTTAACTCTGTACCTTTAACTAATGCTGTTATTTCTTGGTTTTTGAATTAAAGTGTAATTCTGTTGAGGCTGATGGTAAATGTGCTGGAGGCAGCCACAAAAGAATGTAACAGAATCACACATCCTCTTTCACCTGGTCTTCAGAAAAGTTTCAAGTCTGGTAAGTACTAAAGTAAAATATTTAATCTATAATGTATGTATGTGTGCTGAATGTTTTAAGCTGAACATAAGTGTAGTATAAGTGTACTTAAAATGGTGGGCAAGGCTTAAAAAATACTTATTGATTCCCTCCAGGTACTGAGAATTTTTTTCCTTATAGAAATCTGTCTTTCTCCTGAGGTCTTTTTTTTATCCAGTGTCTTTTGCTTGTATAATTAATCAAATAATGTATTCATATTTAAGATTATAATTTAGTCTTACTTTTGAGTACTCACATATTGCTTTCATAGTGAAAAGAAGTAATATGATAATGTGGATAAAGTGGAAAAATAGTGAGCTAAAAAATGCAAGGCTTATATATTTAATATTCAGAACACACATATGTTTGTGTGCACATGCATAGACATGTGCCTATATGTAGTATATAAACAATGTTAGAACACACAGCCCCTTAGATATGTAAATTTATTTTTTATAATTACCTAATCCATTAATTCTAAATAAATTCATAAATATATGAATTACAAATTATAAAGGTGCCTATTGAAAGACAGTTAGAAAATTTAAATTGAAAAGAAAATTGTGTTTGTAGGAGTTCTGATTCAACTTCCTCTGCAGCCAGTACCTCTTCTTAATAACTTCAGTCAATGCTGTTTCAAATTCAGAAAAAGAGATCAGCTCAAGAGATTTAAATCAGGTCCTAAACCTGCAATCTGGTTTCAGTTTGAGTCCTTCTCTGTGGCTCTTGCACCAACGATCCTCAAGAAGCTTTTGCTTGACAGTGGAAGTCCTTGTGTGAATAAATGTGCGACTGGTGGTGCCGTTGTGAACTCCTGTAGCGTCAGGGAGAGCACGCAGCTCTCCCATCATGATCAGCTGTTGTTCCCTACGGGCTTTCTGCCAAGCTCTTCTGAGGACTAGAGCGCCCTTAATCAGTGCTGATCTGAAGAGATCTCCTTTCTTAGCCCTCCTTGCAGGCTGTAGGAAATGCCTGTGCTCCCTTTCTTCTAAATGCCTTCACCCTGTCTTCTTCCTTCTACACAATATACTAATGTTTGAGAATGGCTTTGGCTAAGTGGGATGAAGAGGGACTGTTTTATAGAGAATACACTCTGTCAGGCTCTCTTTGTGTATTTTAACCACCTATGTCCTAGAAAGATATGAATGACAGATACCTAGAAAGGTATTTTTCTTGCAACGATAAAATAACAGTTTCTAAAATGATAGGCTAGACAGGTACCACTTTAGCGCTCTCTAACTGAAGCGTTGCTGCAGTTGCAACCAAGTGCAAAGGGTAAGAGAAACACCAAGCCAGCAGGGGCGTGAGTGCCTGGCTGGCTGGGCTCAGAGGAGGGTAAAGCAGCGGATGGAGACTACAGCTGCTCAGTGATGGGCTAGGGGACCACAGCCCCGGCTGAACCGTACAACTTGCTTGCCTTACACATCTTTGCACTGCTGAGGGATGCTTTAGATTGTTTAAAGCTTGCTTCAGAAGGTGTTCAAGCACTTTCAGGCTGTCATATTCCTGCAGCTTCTAAAAATCATCTTTGAAAAGCCAGCAGAGGAAGCTGGAGAGGGGGTTAAAGATTCATTTAAAGGGCAGGAAAGCCAGAGAAGCTGTGATGCTTAAGCAATATCATATAGTATGGGTCTTTACCCATCTGCAAGCCTCTGTCATGAGCCAGCCTCCACACATGAGTCATTGAGAGGCGCATCCTCCTTATGCTTTTGGAGAGTGTTCAGTCCTTTCCCTCTCCCAACTTTCCTAGTTTTATCAGGATGGCATCTGCCCCACTTTTACAGATTATCTCTCTCTCTCTCTCTCTCAAAATTCAGGTAATTCCCAAACGGGAAGGATTTGTTTATCTAGACTTAAAGTTGACCCCTGCACACTTCCTAATTAGCAGCACCACTAACAAAAAGCAGAGAAACTCTAGGCGAAACTGCCACTCCCAGCTTTAGCAAATAGGGGACCTCATGTCGCCCAGTCCCTGCAATTACTGCGTTGCTGGTATGTGCTGTTCTCACAGCGCAGCTAATGGAAAGGAGGACTGAACTCATGCAGGGGCATGCTGAGAAACTAAATCTCCTGCCCCTGCATTCCTGTGTGAGCTTAAACAAGTCATTTGAGCCCAGCTTTGCACGTGTGGCCACCAATGGCATGTTCCCCATTTTATCTGTCTGTGACTTTAGACTCTGTGGTCTGATTCGCAGAAGTCTGAGCCTCGCTGCAACCAGAGTCAAGGGATTTAATCCTTTACATAGCTGAAGTCCTTCATAACGCTAAGCACTCTTAAAAGTGATGTCAGAGAGGGGACAGGTGTCTCAAACTGAACCTCTCACGTGGATACTTACTGTGATGACTCAGTGCTCAGGTTCCTTCCCTGTAAAATAAAGGTAATAATAACTCCTTGCCACAGAGTGTTGTGCAAATTAATTACCATTTGTAAAATACTTAGGCATCACAGTGACAGAGAAAATTATTTTCATAGAGTGCAGTCTATAACACAAGGATCTGCGCACTGAACAAAGACAAAACAACACTAGCGCTCACATGTTTGTAAGTTGTGTGTTATCCTTTGCACTATAAGAAGCAATTATCCTGGCACTCTCAATTTACTTCACTAGTGTGAAAAAAAAAAAGGTAGGTAATGTGATGTCAAAAGTGTTGAGACACAGTGATAAATGCCAGAGTAAAAAAAAAAAAAAAGTTTAAGTGCTGTATTACTGTTACGGAGTATACTAAGGCAGCGCTGTTTGTTTCTTCCATATCTCCCTCAATACACTGACTGCCACTGTCATACAGAATTTCCGAAAGTAAAATTTAATTTATTCTAATTTCTTGTGTGCAAAGTCAATGTGAGTCACATATTCTCACATATTATTAGCTCTATGAATAAGCATTCCACATGTAAGATTGTGCCCTTAATGACACTGATACAAACTGTACACTTCCCACAACTGCGTGTGGTGCTGCAGAGATTCTCGATTTGTTGAGATGCCCTTGTGTATTGTTGATATAGTTGAAGTGACGAGATTCTTCTTTGAATAAATGTTTTATTTCCAATTGTGTTTTTCTACTTGTTCACATTTCTTGTGCTGGTTTCCCAATCCAATCTACTTTATTTTATTTTATTTTCAGAAATCCTTGGGAAAGCATTTTGAAGTTCTTCTCAACAGATTTTTCTTTCTGAGAAGTGTACTGCCAAGATGAATTTTGTAAGTACTTAACTGATAAACTATATTGGTGCATCAATAAAGCAATGAATCTGGAAGTCCCAGCTCTTTGAGGTGGCTGGTCCAAATGTCCTAATCACAGGAGTGATTAGCTGAAAAGATGTTTCCGACAGCAGAGTTCACTGCCAAAGCACACTCTTTATTGGGTTTGCACTCTCCTAATGTAACTACAGGTTTGGCATCGGTGGTGCAGGTAACTCTGTATCAGCCTTGCCATCCTGGATGCCTGTTTAGCTGAGCGGAGAGAAGTAATCATTCCTGGGCTTGATTTAGCCAGACTATGTTAGGATGAAATGCATAACATGCTAGAAAGGTCGGTTCCCTTCCCTTGACAGTGAAAGGGAATCTAGACCTCTACTTCAAATTCAGAGTTTTACACCGTAGAGTCTTCTGTGATGGCAGATTAATTCTTTCTGCATAATGTATTTCAAGATGGAAACCTTTGGGCCATCCAAAGAGATTATCTCTATGTTCATATTTCAGTTCAGATTTTATGAAATTCTCTAGTTGGTTCTTACAAGTCTCCTCTGCAGTGTTAAATATATTTGTAATTGGGGTGGGGTGGGGTGCTAAGTGGAAACAGTGTAAAGCACATAGTGTTGGAGGAAACAACAGTGTTGTGGACTGTCTTGAGATGAGTTTGATGTAGACTTGAAGCTGAGATGTGGGAAGGACTGGACAGAATTATTACAGTTATCAAGAGGGAAATGTTGCTTCCATTTCAAATCAGCAAGCCATATAATACTTGTATACTAATTTTTGAGAGATTTCCAAAGTACCTTGTATTTGTACAACTTTGTTATCTACCATCTTTCTACTCTATAGAAAGAGATTAACACCTACGTGTTAACTGACAATCTTCTTTTTTACAGACAGAGACTCATACCACAGATTATCCATATTATTCAGACTACGCTTCTCTAATCACACAACCTTGTTCTAAGCTGGAAGTCAGGATCTTCACAAAAACCTTTCTGCCAGTGGCATATTCATTGATTTGTATCATCGGCCTAGTTGGTAACATCTTTGTAGTGATGACCTTTGCTTTATATGAAAGAACCAAGTCCATGACGGATGTGTACCTCTTCAACATGGCCATAGCAGACATACTGTTTGTTCTCACTCTCCCACTGTGGGCGGTGAATTATGCTGCCGACGAATGGATTTTCGGTGATTTCATTTGCAAAATGGCCAGGGGTATCTATGCAATCAACTTCAGCTGTGGCATGCTGCTTTTGGCCTTTATCAGCGTGGATCGGTACATTGCTATCGTACAGGCAACAAAGTCATTTAAATTCAGGGCAAGAACGCTCGCATATAGTAAACTCATTTGTTTGGCCGTGTGGGTGTCATCAATTTTAATCTCTAGTTCCTCTTTTCTATACAGTGAAAGTTACAGCTTCTCCACCAATGAAACAAAAGAGATTTGTGATCACAGATTTGACAGAATGTCTGAAAGCACGATGCTGAAATCACTGCTGCTGTGTCTACAAGTTGGATTTGGATTTTTTATACCTTTCATATTCATGATTTTTTGCTATACGTTCATTGTCAAATCCTTACAACAAGCTCAGAATTCCAAAAGAAACAAAGCAATCCGTGTGATTGTATTAATTGTAGCTGTTTTCCTAGTTTGCCAGGTACCTTATAACATTGTTCTTCTTGTGACAGCCATAAATATGGGCAAGATAGACAAATCTTGTGACAATGACAAGATAATGGCTTATGCGAAATACACCACTGAAGCCATAGCATTTTTACACTGTTGTGTGAACCCTGTGCTCTATGCATTTATTGGAGTGAAGTTCAGAAGTTATTTTGTGAAGATAATGAAGGACCTATGGTGCATGAGATACAAGAAATACAATAAACGTAATTCAAAGACAAACTCTGATATGTATCATTCAAGACAGACTAGTGAAATTCTGACCGACAATGCATCTTCTTTTACTATATAATACAATTTGAACAATGTTATTACTGAAGGACTCTTTTCACCGAGCAACGCAAACCAGTGTCACTGTGCCTGTGACAGCAAGTCATTTGAGCTTCCCTGCACCTCTAAGGGAGCTCCTACGCTCAGCAGCTCCCTTCAGAAAAAGAATTAAGATAAAAGAATAACACTGTCGTTGGAAAACCAAAATCTTATTCACCTCTCCTAACATTCACGCTCTTCTAAAGTGCACTCTTTTGAATTATCAGGAAAATGAAGCTCACAGAGCAACCCTCCTTGTTTTCTAAGGAAAAATTGCACCTCATCTGTCCTACAACACTGAAATATCCCAAAAGTACTAAGTAAATGAATCAGGTTATGTTCAGACTCATTCTACTTATATTTATGTTGTTTCTGTTACTTACTTCTACCTGGAAATTCTATTTAAGTGTACATCTCCACTGTGAGACAGCTCACTGGGATAATACTAACCTAAAGAGATGGCATTTTGAGCAAAGCACAGCAAAGAAAGCAAACAGAGAAATGAAGAAACAGGATTCTGACTGCTGGCATAGCTGGGTTTAGGTGTTAGGTCTTGTAAATCTTTGCCCTGTTCTACACTCCACCTGCTTATTGAGAGTTGCTTACACCAAAGCTGAGGCTGGTCAAAGCCAACAGTGACATTAGGAAAAAAAAATTATTAATTAAAGACAACACTGAAATACCCACAGAAAGGTTTTCTGACATCTCCTGAGATTATCTTTTGAATAGAGGATGGAACTTTCTTGCGAGGTTTTTCTCTTCATTTGGCACAGGATTCAGGTGCTGGAATCCATCAAAGATGATCATCTGGTGAACGTCTGTTTGTGAAAAGTTGTTTCTTTCTAGCTGAAATTCATGCTTCACTTTTTAGAAAGCAACAAACTGTACAGAACCACAATTACTTCAACACTTTTTGTTGGAACTTGATCGGTGACAAAATAATGAATTTCTTGGTATTTAGCTACCATTACCAAAGTTTTATTTAGGAATGGATTTACTAGCACAAATATGCATATATGAAATTTACTCTATTAGCTTCATAAATGATTAAGGACTATATCTAAAATTAACACCAGAATCTGACCTAATCCAGTCAGAATTATTAGTGAGTTAGTCAGCATTTGACTCACTATGAATATAGGAATATTTATAATAAATGCAATTAGTTTTACCCAGCCATGATTCTTCAGCAAGCCCTCCTTGGATTGTCTGCTCATTGAGCAAGCTTCACCACGCTGTAGCAGTCATGGTGGGATAGCGAGGTGTACAGGAGCAGGAGCTGGAGGGCAGAGGGGCAGGAGGGAGGTGAGGAGCACCACGGCTGCCTCTTTGCAGTCTGCTGAGGTACCTACCAGTCCTCTGCAGTTCTGCTGCAATGTAAGCAGAAGCCATGGCAGCCTCTAGATTTGCTGTTGTGTGGGACTTTACACTCCTACAGCTGTGGAAATGAATGCAATTTGCAGCGTGCTCTTTACCTTCGTTAACTGGGTTTTTTTAAAGTTCACGGCTGAAGAGGCAGTGGAGCTTGGATCTCTAACCACGTCTTTTAGTGGCAACGCGAAGGGCCAAGAAGGACAGTGCTGGAGCTGAAGACCCGGTGAGGAAGGGCATTGATATGGCACAACATGAAACTAGTACTGCCTCGGCTGGTGCAATCCATCCTTGTTTACAGTGCCATGTGAGGTTTTTAAATATCAGCACCAGGTGTGATAAAGATTGCATATATTTATCGTGACTGAATAGGAACTTAGGCAAGAATATAATACAAAATTATGTAAATGCAGATGCATGCATTTGCTGTATATAGCACTGATGATTTTCTGGAATACAATTCAGCAAATAAAGAATGTAACTGAAAAAGAAAAAAGACCCCTCAGATCTAAGAGTTTCTTGCTACACTTATTGCCTTGAAACGTTCTTTCATTCAGTGCAAAATCTCTCATACCTGAACGATGTAGCATCTCTCGCTCAGAGGCTGCATGAGGGAGTGTGCCCTAGGGTGGGACGTCTGCGACTGAAGCCCGCCGAGTGCTATGGTGGCTCCTGGGCAGAGCCCTGCAGGGCTCAAAAGCGCACGCCCACCCTCCTGCTGGCCCTGCTGCCGTGCCCGCAGCGGCCTTCGGCCACTGAACAACCCCAACGCCGCCCCCGCGGCCGCCCGGGTGGGGGTGG